AATTTCCCTGAGGGAAGGACAGCAGGCTACTCATCCCTTCTCCACTCCCACCCACCCCAGAGTCTGCCTCTGTGCCTAACACTGGGGATTACCCCAATCTCTTGCGCTATTGTTCCCTCCTCCTGGTAAGAGCAGTAGCCCCTGACCTTAAAGGAGACTGAAGTCACCCTCAAATGTGACCTTCTCTTCCCAAACACTACCTTTCCACTGGGAAGGAAACCAAACACAGAAAGGGGTTAAGGACGCAGAGCAGGACAGACAGGAGTTCAGGGCCACTCGCGTGAGTCCCCTGCCCACTTTCTGTTTTTTGTCCTCCGTAGACCCTGATATAAAATGAGAAACATAACTAACAGCGACAACAACAATAATGGGAATGATACAGTCAGTCTAGGGGTTTCCCTAAGGATCTGGGTTGGAAACCAGTGGAGGTCCTTGTAAATTACAATTCTTGGGACACTTGAGATCTTTCCACCTTTTGGGGGTTATTACTATTTCTCCAGACCTGGCCAGTCCCTCTGCCAACGGAAAACACGAGGTACTCTTCTCCAGGTGTGCGGAAAGATCCCCTGAAATATGGCTCTGGGCTTCCACCTCTTTCCCAACCAGAGATGGGCAGTGGAGGTTCTATGGCACCCATCCTGGCCTCCCTTTGAGGTGCCAAGGAGGATTCTGGGCATCAAGAGACAGCTCTGGGTTAAAACAAAATCAGGTCAGCCCCTGGGTCTGGCACTGGGCTGCTGCACTCTCTGGGAGGAAACTGCCGGGCGTGCTACACACTCCTTCTCCCAGAAACTCCACACCCACGGCCCTGGGTCTTCCTTACCCCAAGATTCTCAAGTCCATAGGCCCGGAATCTCCCCTCCTGGGACGCTTAGCCCTGCATCGTCCTCACTAGAAGACCCCCAAACTCACAGCCACACTTCCATCTCACCCTCATAAAAGCCTGACCTTTGCATTCCTCGCCTCTGGAGCCCCAAATCCACAACTTTGGGGTGCATTCTCTCAGAACCCACATCCAAAGCACAGGTGCTCGCTGTGCACATATTACAAACTCCTCAGTTCTCCAGTTTATCTGTTGCTCCCTCCTAAAGCCACAGCCTTGGGGCACCCCTCCTGAGGCACCACGGCTTTAGTCTGGAGGTCCCCTCTCTGTTCAGCTGCCCTGGGGTCCCCCTCCTCCTCCCTTGCTGGCTGTGTCCCAAGCTAGGCGGGGTGCATGGTGGGGGTGTTGTTTTCCTTCATTTCATGGGAGGTGAAACGAAGTGATTATATAACCAACCAAAGTCCGCTCCTCTTTTTCAGGCAGTATAAAGGCAAACCTCCCCAGCTGGTACCATCTAGAATCCCACCGCCACCATGCTGGCCTCAGGGCTGCTTCTGGTGGCCTTGCTGGCCTGCCTGACTGTGATGGTCTTGATGTCTGTCTGGCAGCAGAGGAAGAGCAAGGGGAAGCTGCCTCCGGGACCCACCCCACTGCCCTTCATTGGAAACTATCTGCAGCTGAATACAGAGCAGATGTACAACTCCCTCATGAAGGTGTCCCAAGGCAGGGAGATGGGTGGCACGGGGTGGGGGCTGCCCAGCTGGCTGGGGCTTTGTGGTGGGGGATTGACCAGAGTCTTAACCAGAGTGGTTACCAGGAGATGAAGGTGGACCAGAGTCTTAGGAAAGGAGAGCTTTTGAGGTTCAGCATCAGGGTCCTAGCCGGGAAAGATGGGGTCTTAGGATGTCCAGTCCCTTGGCTGTGAGAATCTGTGGAGAAGCAACCCATTGCTGGGTCCATTCAGAGTGGGGGTTGCTCCCTCTCACCACTCCCACCCGCCTCCGTCAGATCAGTGAGCGCTATGGCCCTGTGTTCACCATTCACCTGGGGTCCCGGCGGGTCGTGGTGCTGTGTGGATACGATGCCGTCAAGGAGGCTCTGCTGGACCAGGCTGAGGAGTTCAGCGGGCGAGGCAAGCAGGCCACCTTCGACTGGCTCTTCAAAGGCTATGGTGAGGGGGTGCCAGAGGGGGAAGTGGCCAGGAAGACGCGATGGCCTCAGTGTCCCCAGCCTTCTCCCTGACTCTCCTGCCCACTGGAGGCTGCAGCAGAGCCCCCCATCAGGCCTTCTCTCCCCATCTCCATTCACTGCAGCCTCTCCCTGTGTGTCCCTCTCACCTGTCTCCAGCATCCCTGTCCAGATTTCTCCCTGCCTCTGTCACTGGAGTCTCCTCTTTCCCCTCTGTCTCCATATCTGAGGACATCCTGGGTTTCTGTTTTTCAACCCTGGTCCACGTTGCATTTGTCTTTTTGTCGCTTTCAGCTTCTGTGCTTCTCCACATTTCTCTTCTCTCCCCTCCCCTCTCCTCCTCCTTCCTCTGCCTTAGGACTTCCCGGTGTTCCTACTGCCACAGCTCCAGCCTCCATCTCCTGGTAACAGTCTCTCCTCCTCCCAGACCCTCTCTGATTCTGTCCCTGTATTTTTCTCTCTTCTCCAGCTCAGCTTAAGGATCTTTCACCATTTTTATTTCCTCCTCTCAGATCTCCTCACATCTCACTCCCTCTTCCTCCATCCTCCCTCCATCTCTCTCTCTCCCCATTTCCTTCCCTTCCTCCATGGAGTGTCCCCGCATCCCTCTGTTTCTCTGTGCAGCTGTCTGTCTGGCCTGTTTCTCTTCTGATTCTCTCATTCTTCCTACCTGTTCTCTCTCTCTCTCCCTCCCCCCCCCTTCCCTCCCTCTCCTCTGTCTCCTGTTTCTCTGAGTTTGCAGCTCCCCTGCACGCTCACTCTGAATCCATCTCTCCTCCACCCCACTCCCTCTCTGCTGCACCCTTGGGGACCCCTTTGGAGCTGGTCTGTGCCTGCCCCCCCACCGCCCCCGACCTCTCCTCCACCCCTGCGTTCACCTCCCCAGGCGTGGCGTTCAGCAACGGGGAGCGCGCCAAGCAGCTCCGGCGCTTCTCCATCACCACCCTGCGGGACTTCGGGGTGGGCAAGCGCGGCATCGAGGAGCGCATCCAGGAGGAGGCGGGCTTCCTCACCGAGGTCCTCCGGGGCACGCGCGGTGAGCAGGAGACCCCTAGTGCGGGGGCGGGAGAGGGAAAACGCCCAGGGCGAAGGACCCGCGCGCGGGCTCTGCCTGGATATGGGGACTCGGTGGGGAAAGGCGCCCGCGCTCCCAGCTCTGGAGTCTGGCGCTGGGAATTTGGCTCACCAGGGCCGTGCCTCCCGGAGTTCTCAGAATCGCATCAGAACTCTGAGTTGACTCTCTCCCCAACCCTCTTCCCCCGCCACACCCGCAGGCGCCAATATCGATCCCACCTTCTTCCTGAGCCGCACGGTCTCCAATGTCATCAGCTCTATCGTCTTTGGGGACCGCTTTGACTATGAGGACAAAGAGTTCCTGTCACTGCTACGCATGATGCTGGGAAGCTTCCAGTTCACGGCCACCTCCATGGGGCAGGTAACCGGCTGCAGCCCGCCCGTGACTTTCCTACCACACCCTGCTAACTGCTCCCCTCCATGGGGACAGGTGCCTCAAACTCCCACACCCCTCCAGACAGTGTCCCCTCAAAATAAGTCCCCAATATTGAACAATTGGACAGTTGCACCAGAACCCAAGATGGGTGCCCAACACCCAGTCTCCAAGGACACCTGGATATCTCAACAGATGCTCCCCAAAACAGAGCCCGCTGGCAGGAAGCATGCCTTCAGCTCAGCTCCCTCACCTGGGCACGTGTTCCCGTTCCCAGCTTATCGTCATTTCCAACAGATGCTCCCTACCCAGTTCTTCTGAATATCTTAACACCTGGACAAGTGACCACCTCAGCCCACCTCCTGCATACCCAAACACTTGGTGCTGCAAAATCCAGCCCATCATAATCATTTCACATCTACACAAATGTCCCAAATTAGCCCACTGGGATATCTGGCCAAGCACCCTCTACTTGACCCACTTAAATACCTGAACACCTGCAGAGGCTCCCTAACCAACACCGCTAAACACATAAATATCTGGACAAATGATTCCCCAGACACCCAAATAAATGTTTCCCAACCCTTTCCAATCATACACCCTGCAGAGGTGCCCCAATGCATCCCACTTGGCTAGGTAAGCACCTGAACAGGTATCCCCTCCACTTCAACATCTCAATACCAGCCCCACTTTAATACCTGGACAGCTGTACAAAAGCCCCCAATCCAGACCCAAAAAGTATCTAGACAGCTGTCTCCAGCCAAGCCCACCTGAACGCCCAAATACCTCGACAGGTGATGCTCCCTTCACACCAGCCCCACCTGAGTAGCTAAACACTTGAACAGGTGTCTTCCAACCCAGCTTCACTTGAATATCTGAACACCTAGATGTGTTCTCCAATCCAGCCTCATTTGAATACCTGAAACCTGGATATATGCCTCAGTTCTTCTCATCTAAATTGCTAGATTTTGGCCCCTAACCCACAGGAAAACTTGGATATATGTTCCCACCCAACCCCACCGAAATAGCTAAACACCTGGACAGATGCCTTTAACTCAGTTCCCTCTTTGCTATGAAAAAAGTCCCATTCCCATCAGCTCCTGCCTCCTGACAGCTGCCCTTCCCTTCCCATCCTCTCTCTCTGCATCCCCCAGCTCTATGAGATGTTCCCTTCGGTGATGAAACACCTACCAGGCCCACAGCAACAGGCCTTTAAGGAGCTGCAAGGGCTCGAGGACTTCATAGCCAAGAAGGTGGAGCACAACCAGCGCACACTGGATCCCAGTTCCCCACGGGACTTCATCGACTCCTTTCTCATCCGCATGCGGGAGGTACACCCCAGCCGCCAGTGTGGGGAGGGAAATCAGGCTGGCAGTGGGGAGGGCAGACAACACAGGCCCATGCAAATTAGCCCCCGTCATCATAATCCTCACAATTGGCCAGGTACGGTGACTCACCCCTATAATCTCATCACTTTGGGAGGCTGAGGAGGGTGGATCACCTGAGGTCAGGAGTTTAAGACTAGCCTGGCCAACATGGTGAAACCTTGTCTCTACTAAAAATACAACAATGAGCCAGGCATAGTGGTGCGAGCCTGTAATCCCAGCTACTCAGGAGGCTAAGACAGGAGAATCGCTTGAACCCAGGAGTCAGAGGTTGCACTGCACTCCAGCCTGAGTGACAGAGTAAGACTCTGTCCAAAAAAAAAAAAAATCCTCACAATCCCAACTATATCAACCACCGCTGCTCCATCTCCTGAGCCCTCACCCACAGGCAGGACTTGTGCACGTGAATTAGAATCGCAAGCTCTTCTGCAGCACAACCATGTGCCAGGTACTACGTTAAGTGCTTTAAGACAGTCCCCACTGAACACTCACAACAGCTCTTCAGAGGTTCATTCATGGCCCCAATTGCATAAATGAGGAAACTGAGGCCCAGAGAGTATAAGTGTCTTGCCCGAGGTCACACAGCGAGGAAGCTGTGGTTTTCCCAAGCGCAAACCCTGGTCCCTCTGAGCCTAACGCTGCTGTTTTTAGCCACCATGCTCTCTAATCTATCACGTCCTGTTATCAGACGCACCTCTGTAGACAGGTGACCTGGCTTTACATGGGAGGGTCCCCACCTCCATCTGGATGTCAGTATCTCATATGGGAAGGCTTTAGGGAGTCCGAAGCTCAGCGAGAAAGGATCAAGGGAGGGGATTCCTCACAGTAAGCTTCAAGATTTTTAGGGAAGAAATAAAATGCTGTTGCTTACAATTCTGTGCTTGTCTCTCAGAAAAACTCTTTTTTTTCTGACTCTCTTCATCTTGCCATCTCTGTAGTACTTTCTCCCTTTATCCTTCTCTTTCTAAATATTCCTACTATTCAAAGAGTAACAGGCTGGGCAACATCGTGAAACCCTATCTCTACAAAAAATACAAAAAAATAGCTGGGCGTGGTTGGTGCATGCCTGTGGTCCCAGCTACTCAGGAGGTTGAGGTGGGAGGATTGCTTGAGCCCAGGGGGCAGGGGTTGCAGTGAGCTGAGAAGATGGCACTGCACTCCAGCCTGGGTGACAAAATGAGACCTTGTCTCAAAACCAAATTAATTATTTTTTAAAAAGTAACAGCTGAGCGTGCGTGGTCATATGCATATCCAGTTCCAGCTACTCAGGAGGCTGAGGCTGGAGGCTTCCTTGAGCCCAGGAGTTCCAGTCCATCCTGTGCAACTTAGCAAGACCAAGTCTCTATAAGAAAAACTGAGCCGGGCGCGGTGGCTCAAGCCTGTAATCCCAGCACTTTGGGAGGCCGAGGCGGGTGGATCACGAGGTCAAGAGATCGAGACCATCCTGGTCAACATGGTGAAACCCTGTCTCTACTAAAAATACAAAAAATTAGCTGGGCATGGTGGCGCGTGCCTGTAATCCCAGCTACTGAGGAGGCTGAAGCAGGAGAATTGCCTGAACCCAGGAGGCGGAGGTTGCGGTGAGCCGAGATCGCGCCATTGCACTCCAGCCTGGGTAACAAGAGCGAAACTCCGTCTCAAAAAAAAAAAAAAGAAAAAAGAAAAACTGACCACTAAGTTGATACTAAAGGACAGATGGTCAGCCAGGTAAAGAAGGGGAGAAGCAAGAGCATTTGGGGCAGAGCCAGCAACCAAGGCAAGGTCTGGAACCTGGGGGGTGCCTGGCAGACCTAGGGTCCCTCATTCCACCTTTGGTCTGGATCTAAGAGAGGTAAATCCAAAGGAAAAGCCCCAGAAGGGTCCCAAGGGCAAGAGGAGTGAGCTTGGCCTAAAGCCCCCTCTCCCTGCAGGAGGAGAAGAACCCCAACACGGAGTTCTACTTGAAGAACCTGGTGCTGACCACGCTGAACCTCTTCTTTGCGGGCACCGAGACCGTCAGCACGACCCTGCGCTATGGCTTCCTGCTGCTCATGAAGCACCCAGAGGTGGAGGGTAAGGCTGGAGGGCAGGGAAGTGAAGGGACCCAGACCCTCAAAACTCCCCTGGTGCAGTGTCCCCACCTGTCCCAGATCCCAGGACCCTGAGACATGCCTTGCTGTCCAGACACAGGGCAACATCCAGCTGATAGGAATCAACTGAGTCTCATTAGTTGACAAAATATGGAAAATGTCTGCGGTGATTTGTCAGTCACTCCTGTCCCAAGCCCACTGAGTGCCCGCTGCCCGCTCCTCCGGACCATCCCCTAAGTTCCTCCCTGTGCCGCCCCTGTGATTCTGGCATGACCTGGGTAACAGGATCTTGCTCCAACAATGCTGATGTCTGTTATGAATGGTGAGTGGGCGTCCCTCGCCCACATATGACTACCTCTGTGTCATACATAGAGCCATGTCATCCACCCCATTTTGCCTATTCGGGCTATCATCCCTGCTCTGAGACCCCTAGATACCTAAACCCGTTCCCCTTCCCCCCCACCCCGCCCCAGCCAAGGTCCATGAGGAGATTGACAGAGTGATCGGCAAGAACCGGCAGCCCAAGTTTGAGGACCGGGCCAAGATGCCCTATACGGAGGCGGTGATCCACGAGATGCAAAGATTTGGAGACATGATCCCCCTGGGTGTGGCCCGCAGGGTCACCAAGGACACCAAGTTTCGGGACTTCATCCTCCCTAAGGTGCTGTTTCCTCTGCCCTGGGCTACAGGGACTTCCAGCCCCTCTCTGTGTCCTCAGCATCCCACCCCCAGTAGAAGCTTTCTAGACTCTGTCCCACTCCCTCAATCAGTCAAAAAAGACTTTCCCAACCACCACATCCCTTCCACCTTCCCAGTTAGAGACTCCTTAATCCTGCATCTCCCCAGACCCTTTGTGTCAGGAGAATCAATCCCATGTTCCCAAACTTCTTAAGAATCAGCAGAAGCCTTTCCATTTAGGCCTTTTGCCTTAGAGACATAAATCTCAGGTCCCCCAAACACCCTGCCTAGGAGAACATGGACCCCTTGTCTCCCAAACTTCCTGTCTCAGGGACACAAACCTTCTATCCCCCAAAGCTCCTCCCTCAGAACACCCCAACTCCCATGCCTACCACTTCCCCTCACCTGGGGCACCCTGGTTCCCCCTCCAGCCCCTGTGTCCTTTCACCAATCCCCCAACCCGCCTCATGACATACACCCTCCTCCTCCCTACCAGGGCACCGAAGTGTTCCCTCTGCTGGGCTCTGTGCTGAGAGACTCCAGGTTCTTCTCCAATCCCCGGGACTTCAACCCCCAGCACTTCCTGGATGAGAAGGGGCAGTTTAAGAAGAGTGATGCATTTGTGCCCTTCTCCATCGGTAAGAGACCACTGTTTGCTGCTCAGGCCACTGCTCACACCAGCAGGGGCCTCCCTCACCCAGCTCCCCTCTCCGAGGTGTAGCCAGGTAGTTCTCCAGCTTGGAAGTTCCTGTAGAACCTACCCTTGAGCCACCAGCTGATCCTCCCTTAACTACCAAGCACCCAGTACCTGCACCCAGGCAAAAGAGAAGGAAATATCATACCCTGTAGATTTATTTGTCTACGGTCACACAGCACATGTTTTTGTGATCATGTTGCAAGTGTATCTGGCAGGAAGGGGCATCTAAACCTCCCATTGCTACACCTGGCATGGATCACCCCATCTACGGTGGATGCATGACATTATGCCTTTTTCAAAACCCATAGAACTGTACAACACAGAGTAAACCCTAATGTAACTATGGACCTTGGTTAATAATAATATATCAATATTGGTTCCCCAGTGTTACAACTCTTATAGAAGGAAACTGAGGCTCAGGGAGGATCAGTGCCTCCTCTGAAAGTCTCTCAGGCCATAATATTCCACCCCTCCTCCCTGGGAGAGCCGCAGCTGCAGGCGTGTAGGAGGGCGAGGCTGCACTGAGAGTGGGTTCACCCCCCACCCCCCCACTTCTCCTCCTCAGGAAAGCGGTACTGTTTCGGAGAAGGCCTGGCCAGAATGGAGCTCTTTCTGTTCCTCACCACCATCATGCAGAACTTCCGCTTCAAGTCTCCGCAGTCACCCAAGGACATCAATGTGTCCCCCAAACACGTGGGCTTTGCCACAATCCCACCAAACTACACCATGAGCTTCCTGCCCCGCTGAGCGAGGGCGGTGCTGGTGCAGGGCGGGTGGGCGGGGGCCCGGAAAGGGCGGGGCCAGGGGCGGGGCTTGTGGGAGGGGCGGGGCTAAGAATGGAGGCAGGATGGGGGAAAGCAAGGGGCGAGGTGGTTAGAGGGAAGAGAAGAAACAGAGGGGCTCCTTTCACCTTGATCAGGTGCTTCCGAGCTGGGATGAAAGGAAGGGAAACCTTACACTATGCTGTGAAGAGTAGTAATAGCAGCTCTTATTTCCTGAACAAGTACCTCCGTGTCAGCTCTGTTCAAAAAGCGTTGCACGCACACCTCAATTGCCACAAACCTCTGCCGAGGGGAACAGCGCTCATGCCCATTTTACACGTGACAAACCTGAGGCTCAGAAAGTTGTCTCTATCAGAGGTCTCATAAAATATAATCGCCCAGAAAAATCTTTGAACACAGATCTGTGTCCATAACCCTCTGGACTGATTCTTAAAAAGCAAGCACCCCTTCTACTCACAGAATGCCTTATCCACAAAGGCAATGCTATGTGGAATACCACATTCCACATGACATTGCCTCTGACCAAGGCACTCATTTTATGGCAAAAAACAAAAACAAAAAACAAAACACCCCTCCTCAAGTAAAACAGCTTAATGTGGCATCGCATGGCCTGAACCTCCCAGTCCTAGGGGTTTTTCCAGGCCCCTGGCAGGCAGCTGTCCTGGCTTCACTGCACACTTGCCCACACTCTCATCTACTCAGCATGCTTGAGCACCACGGTGTAGTCTGCGTTTGCTACCAGGTAAGGCTTCTGTGGTCCATTCAGAGTCAGTCCAGGGACACGAGACATGAATGAGACATACAGTCAGTCCATTGACAATTCCTTTGCCGAGCAGAAGTTTTTAATTTTAATGACACTCTGTCATTGTATCTCTTAATGAAGAAGTTGAAGGAGAGAACCATTTTCAGGAATGCTGGGAGAACTCTGGATCAGGACATAGCCATATGCATGTGTATGATCATGTGTAGGCGTGCATATGAGCATACGACTGCATACCGTGTATGCATAAAATACATTCCACTATGGGTTTCTGAACGTGGGACTCTCCTGATGGATCTGGGGTCTGTTGTAAGAATCACCTGTACACTCTCAAAGAAGTTAGTGTATGTCCCCCTTAGAAGCTCCCTTACAGCTTTCATGAACATTAACTCCAAGTTTATTGCAGACCTAAACGAAAAGTGAGTATCTATAAAAGTTCTAGAAGATAACATAGGAGAAAACCTAGATGACCTCAAGTTTAATGATGACTTATTAGATACAACACCAAAAGGACAATCCTTGAAAGAAGCAATTGATAAGTTGTGTCATTAAAATTAAAAATTTCTGGCTGGGCGCAGTGGCTCAAGCCTGTGATCCCAGTACTTTGGGAGGCCGAGGCGGGTGGATCACGAGGTCGAGATCGAGACCATCCTGGTCAACATGGTGAAACCCCGTCTCTACTAAAAATACAAAAAATTAGCTGGGCATGGTGGTGCGTGCCTGTAATCCCAGCTACTCAGGAGGCTGAGGCAGGANTACTAAAAATACAAAAAATTAGCTGGGCATGGTGGTGCGTGCCTGTAATCCCAGCTACTCAGGAGGCTGAGGCAGGAGAATTGCCTGAACCCAGGAGGTGGAGGTTGCGGTGAGCTGAGACCGCGCCATTGCACTCCAGCCTGGGTAACATGAGTGAAACTCCGTCTCAAAAAAATAAAAATAAAAATAAATTAAAAAAAAAATTAAAAATTTCTGCTCTGCAAAAGAATTGCCAAGAGAATGGCAATACAAGCTACAGATGGGGAGAACATATTTGCAGGGCGCATACCTGACGCAGGACTTACATTCAAAATACACAAAGAACTGCTAAAACTCAGCAATAGAAAACAAACAACCCAATTAAAGAATGGACAAATGATCTGAACAGACACCTCACCAAAGAAAATACACACATAGCAAATATAGAAAGATGCTCCACATCATATGTCAGTAGCAATTTCAAATTAAAACAATAATGATATCTGACCATCCACCTGTTAGAATGGCTAAAATCCAAAATTGACAACACCAAATGCAAACAAGGAGGTGGTCCAACAGGAACTGTCATTCATCGATGGTGGGAATGCAAAATGGCACAGCTACCTTGGAAGACAAATTGGCAGTTTGTTGCAAAGCTAAAAATATTCTTACTGTGTGATACAAAAATCATGCTTTTCGGTTAATCCCAAAATGAGCTGACATATAACCACACAAAAACTTCTGCACAAATGTTTACAGCAGCTGTATTCATAATTGCCAAATCTTGTAAGCAACCAAGATGTTCTTCAACAAGTGAATGGATGAATGAACTGTGGTATGTTTCATACAATGAAATGACTGGGCGTTGTGGCTCACACCTGTAATTACAACACTATGGGAGGCTGAATTGGGCAGATCACTTGAGGTCAGGAATTAGAGATCAGACTGGCCAACATGACACAACCCCATCTCTACCACAAATACAAAAATTAACCAAACATGGTGGCACACCCCTACAGTTCCAGCTACTTGGGAGGCTGAGGTGGAAGAATCACTTGAACCCATGGGGCGGAGGTTGCAGTGAGCCGATATGGCGCCACTGAACTCCAGCCTGGGCGACAGAGTGAGATAAAATCTCAAAAAAAAAAAAAAAAAGAAAAAGAAAGAAAGAAAGAAAGAAAAGAAATATTATTCAGCAATAAAAAGAAATCAGCCCACAAAAAGACATAGAAGAACCTGACATGTATGTAGGAAAGTGAAAGAAGCCAGTCTTAAAAGGTTATATCCTACATGATTCCAATTATACGGCATTCTGGAAAAGTGAAACTGAGAAGGCAGTACAGAGATAGCAGTTGCCAGGCGTTTAGGGAGGAGGGAGGGTGAATAGGTGCAGCACATGGGCTTTTTAGGGCAGGGAAACTATTCTGTATGATACTGAAATGATGCATGACGTTATGCCTTTTTCAAAGCCCATAGAACTGTACAACAGAAAAAGTAAACCCTAATGTAAACTACAGACTTTGGTTCATAATAATATATCAATATTGGTTAATCATTGCTACAAATGTACCATGCTTATACAAGATGTAAGGGGGAAAAGGAAGTACATAGGAACTTATGGTGCTTTCTGCTCATTTTTTTTTTTCGTAAACCCCCAACTGTTCTAAAAATAAAGTACATTGGAAGGAGGAGGGAGAGACAAAATAAAATAAAAAAATTAAAGTACAGTAACTGAAAACTAATAAATCAGAATAATCTACTACATTAACAAGCTAAAGCAAAAAAATATATATAACCATATAAAAGCAGAAAAAAATCATTTGGTGAAATTCAACACCTGTTCGTATAAAAACTCTCAACAAATTAGAAGTAGAGGGGCAAACTCCTCAGCTTAAAAAGGACTGTCAATAAAAACCAATAGCTATGCCAGGCATGGTGGTTCACACCTGTAATCCCAGCACTGGAGGAGGCCAAAGTGGGTGGATCACTTGAGGTCAGGAGTTCAATACCAGCCTGGCCAAAATGGCAAAACCCCATCTCTACTAAAAATACAAAAATTAGCTGAGCCTGGTGGCTGGCACCTATAGTCCCAGCTACTCAGGAGGCTGAGACAGGAGAATTGATTGAACCTGGGAGACAGAGTTTGCAGTGAGCTGAGATCATGCCACTGCACTCTAGCCTGGGCAACAGAGCGAGACACCGAAAGATATTGGCTAAACCAATTATGATGCATTCATTTGATAGACTTTGTCCATCAGAATCCCAGCAGAAAAATATGAGAGCTTCATGGAGGACTTCTTAATGGACGTGAAGGAAATCTACAAGACGTTGAAGCACTCGATGGCTTACAAGAAGGAGAAGCCATCATCGTCCTGAGGTGGAACTGTGTGGTGAGAGGAAGCAGTTTCTGAAACCGAGACTGACCATATAGGGGTAAAAGAGAGCCCCCAGCAGGAGGGCGTGGTTTCTGGCAGAGGAATACAATTACTGCTAACACACGGCCCAGCAAAATAACCTGACATTGCTCTTCTCTCAACCCTCCATTGGCCAAACCCCCAATTTTTATTTTATTTATTTTCTTAAGACGGAGTCTCGCTCTGTCACCCAGGCTGAAGTGCAATGGTGCGATCTCAGCTCACTGCAACCTCCGCCTCCCGGGTTCAAACGATTCTCCTGCCTCAGCCTCCCGAGTAGCTGGGACTACAGGTGCGTGCCACCATGCCCGGCTCATTTTTTGTATTTTTAGTAGAGGTGGGGTTTCACCATGTTAGCCAGGATGGTCTCAATCTCCTGATCTTGTGAACCAGCCACCTGGGCCTCCCAAAGGGCTGGGATTACAGGCCTGAGCCATCAGGCCCAGCCACCAATTTTTTTTTTTTTAATGTAAAGGCAAAGGGAGCTTGGGTGGTACAGTTTCTCTATTCTACAGATAGGCAAAATAAGTCAAGTGTGAAGTAATTTAACTACCAGGCCCCTGTGTGTTCTGGAATTATATCACCGTTATCAAGTTCCAAACAGTTTCAGATTTGTGTTGACAGCTTCAGTTCCAGTTTTGACTGCTTCCCGCTGACTGAGGAGAGGGATAGAGCAGCAGGAAAGCCAGAGGCCACATGTTATTCAGCCACAAACAACTGAATAACAAGTGCTCGTGCAGACCCTAATCATGCTGTGTTCTGTCCCTTGGGAGGAGGCTGAAAATATTTGACTTACCCACCCTTCCATGTATGACAGAAAGATGCATGAACTCCTGGAAATTACAATCTCTCTACCAAAGACTTGAAAAATTATAATCACTGTCCATGGAGTCATAGTTTCTGCTAAAGTTTGAGTGTCTCTGTCAAAACTCATGTTGGAACCTGAATTTCCAGTGTGGTAATGTCGGGAGGCGAAGCCTTTAGGAGGTGAGGCCTAATGGGAGGCATGCAGGTCACATGAGTTGCACCCTCACGGGTGGTTTGGGCCCTTTCTCAAAGCAGTGAGTGAGGTCTCGCTTTTGCAAGACTGGATTAGTTTTCATGGGAGAACCGTCAAAAATTGAGGACACCGCTCATGTGCTGCCCCTTCACAAATGTCTCCTTCCCCTTTACTTTATGCCATGTCATGATATAGCATGAAAGCCATCAGAGAAGCCAAGCAGACACCGGCATTATGCTCTTGGACTTTCCAGCCTCCAAAATCATGAGCCAAATAAGCCTCTTTGTTGTGTGTAAATTGTCCAGTCTCTAGTATTCTGTTACAGCAATGCAAAATGAACTAAGACAGCCTCTGAGACTCAACATTTTCTAATACAAACCTTCAAGAACTGCTGTAACAACTATAATCAACAATATTGTCTGGGCATGGTGACTCACACCTGTAATCCCAGCACTTTAGAAGGCCAAGGCAGGTGGATCACTTGGGGTC